ATTATATAAGAACAAATCGACAGCGAAGGTAACGATGCACCTCCTCTAGCCAAAGAATCGGCAATGGAGTTTGCTTCCGGATAGACATGATTGAACGAAATAGAAGGTCCAACTAGATCCATTATTTGCAACCACAAAAATCGCAATTCTCACGGAACCTTCTGTTTCAATTTGCACAATTTTATCACATTCAATGAGTCTCCTTCAATCCAGACATTGCTAGTAGTGTTCCTCTCAAACAAAAATTTCAACCCACACAACAAAGCACTCAATTCAGCAAAATTTGCTGTTTTTTCCCCTATCGGGTCAGCAAAGGAGAGACTAACACAACCCGTGGAGTCACGTACAACACCACCAATGCCAGCCCTACCTGGATTTCCAAAAGAACTTCCATCGAAATTTAGCTTAACCCTCCCAAAGTCAGGTGCCGACCAAATGCTCTTCGGTCTAGGATGAGAAATAGCAAGGGAAAATAAATTGTGAAGATTATACAAAACATCCACAATTGGAATACCCCAACCCTCCTTAGTCACTGATAGCTTAATTTTGGCTATGAGCTTTTCAAAGGACAATGAACTCCCATCGAAGGTTCTTCTATTCCTCTCTTTCCATATTTCCCAAAGGATAACCCCTTTAGAAATCTTCCATAAGACCTTACCACCTACCGACAAATGGCTTAAAGACATATGAGAGATAATACCATCCACTGAATGGGGCATGACAAAAAGTATCCCAAGTGTGGAAAAAAGCTAGGACCCCACACGAGATATAAAAGAACAATGGATCAAGAGATGTGCCACTGTTTCTCCATCTTCTTTGCACAAAAGACAAATATTTGCCAAAATTTTTTCCCTTTTAATCACGTTATCAACCGTTTAAATCCTATTCAGAGAGGCAAGCCAAATGAAAAACTGTACCTTATGTGGTATAGGCCAGTTCCAAACAGCAACAACATTGGAGCTAATCCTATCTTGGAATAATAGATTATAATAATATGTCATCGAAAAAACACCATCACTTTCAATCTCCCATATAATCTCATCCTCAGCATTGGCAGCAACATAGATGTTATCTAGCATTTCCATAAGAGAGCACCATTGAGATAATAGGTGGTTACTTAGTCTGCCATAAGATAGAGAAATATTCCAAGGACTTTGCAGATCTCTTCTTTCTAAAGCTTCATGAATGGTCACTGTCGGCTGACTTACCAATAAAAAAAGATTAGGAAATGCCACTTTCAACGGATAATCCCCTATCTATTTATGATGCCACAGAGACACTTGCGTACCACAACCAACACTCCATCTAGAATAACATGAAACAATAGGCCGGGATCTAAAGATGAACTTCCACACCTGTGAAACCTCTCTTCTGTACCCATTACCCAACCATACCTGTAATCTATCAACTCCATATTTAACCATAAGAACTTTATACTACAAATGGTTATTGAGTTTAAGGCTTCTCCACCACTACTTACATAACAGTGCTTGGTTAAACACCATAATTCTCCTTAATCCCAACCCACCATCTTTTTTAGGTATATATACTCTATCCCATCTAAGCAAATGAAACTTCCTCCTATTGGAATAGGAGCCCCAGAGAAAGTCTCGCATCATTTTTTCCAATTTTCTTGCAATCGAGGCAGGCATATTTATCAAAAATATCTAGTAAACAGGGAGATTTGATAAACATGATTTCAAAAGAGTAACCCTACCACCCAAAGAGAGATATTTGTACTTCCATAAATCCAACTTTTTTTAAACTCTTTCAAGCACTATATCCCAGACAGCAATCGTAAGTCTTGAATCAAAGATAAGAAGACCCAAATAGGTCACTGGGAAGGAGCTAACCTTGTAACCCACAACAGCAACCATCTCCTCTATGACCCCATCCTCACAACAAATCCCAACCATTGAAGATTTATGAAAATTAACTCTCAAACCCAAGGTTGCTTCATAGATATCCAAAAATTTACAAACTTGTAGAATCTTTGCCTCACAAAAATAAAGGTATCGTCTGCATATTGAAGATGAGAGATTTGGATATCAGAGTTAGTAATCCGAAACCTAGTGAAATAGCCTTCATTCTCCACTCTATCTAACATTAAACTAAATCATTCAGCATAAATTGTATAAAATAAAGGAGACAAGGGATCCCCTTGTCGCAACCCCCTAGAGGCATTGAATAAGCCTACGGGACTACCTTTGTACAGAACAGAAAAATGAGCTGATGATAAGCACCAAAAAATCCAAGATCTCCATCTCTCGCCAAATCCCTTAACTCTCATAATTTCCAAAAGAATCCCCACTCTACCCTATCGTAGGCTTTTTCCATATCCAGCTTAAAAAGAATACATGACTTCTTATTAATAACTCTTGAATGGATGCATTCTTGAGCTAGCAGAACACTGTCTGTGATTTGATGATACTTAATAAAGGCAGATTGGGTATTAGAGATAAAAGTAGGCAGCACCAACTTCAGCCTCTCTGCCAAAACCTTAGCAATGATCTTATACAGGCTTGTCAGCAAATTTATGGGTCTAATATCAGCAAGACTAGAAATCAACCTTTCTTATGAATCAATGCTACAAAGGTAGAATTAACACTTCATTTTTAACCAACGGCCAAAATTTATGGAAAAATGCCAGAGGGAAACCATCAGGTCCCGGTGCTTTGTCCCCAAGTATGGCAAAAACAACCTTATGTAATTCCTCACTGGTGACTTCCTTCTCCGGTGCAAAACGTAAATTTAAAGGGCGCCTATTAAAAGAGATTTTATCCAGTGATGGAGTGAAATAAACCTCTTTAGTAAAAGCCTTTTTAAAATAGTTTACCACAATGTTCTCAGTAGCAGTATCATTCTCTAGATCCACACCCTTAGTGAGGCTATAAGTCCTCATATATTTTCTCACTATTTCCAACTATGTCATTTTGAGTCTATCCATTATATTTTTTGAGCTTTCCACCTGAACTAACCCGTACCTCCTAACAGGTATTGTACTGTGTCTACACCACACATGATCAGCCCACTTAATTATACTCTATCATCTTAGTAATCATTTTTTAACGTTTGGTTATTAATGTTCAGTTCTAAGAGCATATAGAAGGTCAACTCTTTGCTCACATTATTTTGAAAAAGGGGTTCATAGTTCATACAAGATAACAACGGTCCTTCCATGTAACAGATGTCATTTCCATCATTTTCCATTTTCAAAGTTAAGAAAGGGAAATTTCCAAACAAACTATGTTTTAATTTTTATATTAAAGAGCAATAATCAAGTCTTACTTTTTATAGGGAATATATATCCATACCCTCATTTTTAAGTTTTATATTTCAATAGACTCAAGGTTTCAAAACATATATTGAGTCATAAAAATTCTAAGTTTTATATCTTTTAACCCCCTAAGCTAACTTTATCCCCTTTAAACCTATTATTTTGCCCCAAACAAAAGGGTAACATTTCTATGCTTCCCCTACAACATAGAAGTTTTATTCTCCCCTTATCCAACTGTCCATTCTGAATGGAAGGCTAAGATTGTCCCAATCACAATGTCACATCTCTACACTATTTTATTTTTAATTTTTTTTTCTATAAACTATTTTGACACTAAATTTTCGACGTCTATTCCTCTATTAAACTCGCAATGGCAAAAAATATATAAAAAAACATTTTCAATAAAAATAAAATGACCAAAATACCCTTGAAAGTTTCAAGGGGTATTTTGGTCATTATATTTTATCGAAAAAATATTTTTAATATTTTTTATAGGTGAGCCCCAAGGAGAAGATGTCACATACCAAATTTCATATTCATACAATTTGTATAAAAAAAAACTAAAAATAAAATACATTGCGACGTCATATCTAAGATCAAACGGTAAGTGGCTCTTTAGATCAAAATTGGACGGTTGGATGGTAGGAGGAGGATAGAACTTCTATGCTGTAGGGGAAGCATAGAAATCTTTTCCTTTCAAAATATAAGAAAGACGCATCATTTCTAAATACCATCCTTTCTCTCTCTTCACGAAATTTTCCCTTAAATCTCTCTACCTATTTTCCAACCCTCTCTCTCCCTATATCTCTCACTATCTCTCTCCCCTGTTGAGGGTGAATGTTAGAGAGAGAAATTTCGGGAATATATCACGAAAAGAGAAGAAAGGTTTAAAATGAGCATGTAATTTTTATATTTGTCAGGGCTAAAAAATTAATTAAAAGTAGGTAATTAGTCCAAAGGTTAGGAGATATATTTTGAATATTTGAGTCTTTTGAGATATAAAAACCAAAAATATGGGGTACGAAGATATTTCCCCTTTTTTATAACACAACGTATTTCAATTTTATCACTTTTTATGTACATCTGATTATACTCAAATTTAATGTTTGCACTTCTCACTATTATACAACTATAAAAATATTAAAAATAATTTTAAATAAATAAAAATGGCAAACTACACCTATATTATTTAGGGGTAATTTGACAGTTTCATTTATTTTAATTATTTTTTAAAAAATGTGATTTCTATAAGGCCTAAGTACTATAGAAAAAACTAAAAAAAAAAGAGCCTCAACCTTCAAACCGCAACTAAAAAATATATTGGGAATTGTAAACTATAAATACATAGAACTATTTTTAAATTTTAAAATAAAAAAGGATTCTCTCTTAATTTCCCTTTATAAACAGCATTAGTTGAACCCTTCTTTAAGCTCTCTCTCTCCTCTCTCATTTCGATTTTTTAAACCCTTAGGCCTACTCCACTGTGCAACCAAAGTAACACCCCAGTCCAAAAAATATCCGCAACATCTCGCTTCTCTCGCTGAGGTTGAAGTTTGGATAAACCAGTAATGCACCTGTTCTGTGCAATGTGTGTATAGACGAAACTGTATGCACCTATCTCTCTCTCACACAAGCGCGCACACACACATACAAACACACATTTGGATTGCTTCCAATTTCAAAAATGGAATCAGACATCGTACCGAAGAGGCGTCCATGGATATTGATCTGGGCAAATCTGATTTCATCTTTTTTGAAGGATAACAACGTCTCATTTTGGGCTGTATCCTGGAACTAACATTTCCACAAAATTTTGAAAACCATGACTTATTTGTGGATCAATTATGACTAGACCCTGCTCAAATTTTTCACTCAACGAAACTTTTTCATTCATAGTCCAGGTTGCAATCGCTCCACCAAAAACTCACAGAGAAACTTGTGGTAAGAGATCTTACATAGTGCCACCATTTGGGTGGGATGTAAAGCATCTCTCCTTCCTCCAATATACAATCCATGAAATCAAGGTCTTGTGCTAAAGGAAACTCGTCCGGATCCGGGTTGTCGAGGTCCACCTACACCCAGTTCAACACATTAATCTCTCCAAACCAACTCACAAACAAACATCAACAAGAACTAGAATAGAACCAAAGCATAACAAAAAATAATGCAAAAATTATAAAAACATCAGCAGAATAAGAGTGAGGGCATGTTCTTACACCCGCTCTCTTGGCAACTGCTCCCATCCACATACTTCACACTGTCAATGAGTTTGTGCATGATGTGTCTGAGTTGTACGAAGTGGTGCAGTTGCCAAGAATGCGGGTGTAAAAACTACCCCCTAAGAGAAAGCGAAAACAATCTATTTCAGAAAGGGTTCTCTCAAAACAAAAAATAAAAATAAAAGGAAAACTAAAAATCAGAGGAAGATGGAAGACTCTATTATCTGCCAATGTGAAGGGAATGACATCAGTCAATGGAGTTCTCAAAACATTGGTACGATATTGAACACCAATGGCCATCAATAACACACCTAGAAATGGTCAAGAGAAATCATGTTTGTCCTAAGTAAAATAATTTATATGCCACAAGAGTCTCCATTCAGGCTTAGGAAACCCTTTTTTTCACCTCTTGGGAGGAACAAACAGAACACTTACCCTGCTAGAATTGTGTAGCATAGACTCCTCATAAGGGTACAGATCATTAGATATTGAGGAAGGATATAACCTCACGTACTTTCTACCAACAACCTGAAGACAAGAAAGCAGGTAAGGTAAATGGTCTGAAAGATCCATCACAAGAACATAAACAACAGTAATCATATTAAAGATAAAACTGAAATAGTTATGGAACACAATGAAACAATATCACATAAAGGATTCTTAGGCAGGCTGGAATTGTGAGACAGAGTAGGTCCACTGCCCACTGCTTTCTCAACTTTCCTACACTTACAATGTACATGCCAATCCCTAAATCTAGCAAATGGTTTTGGACTGCCTCCACTCTTACAAAGACCTTGTCAGATTTCAACATAAGGATGATACTCCGGAACTCAGCAATCCTTAGAACTGGCTTCTCCTGCTTAGTAAAATCCTTGACTCGCTTGGCACCTAAAATCTTCTAAGAATCCTAAATCTGATTTTGTTCACACAGTAGGGGATCTGATCCAGACAAATTTATGAGTTTATCCCATCGAATGGGGCCCAGATATCAGAACCAGCTGGTTAATACCCCATAGTGCCAGGTTCAGTTCAGCCTGAACCAGCTAGTTTCTCTTCAACAAACAATTGCTTTAAGGTCAGGATTCAAGAGCGGGAAACTAGCAAGTGCACCATAATAGTCATGTTAAGGAACTTATTCCCTTACAAAAAACATCATTTTTAGTATGACAAATACAATGAATCTAGAATACTGAGTGTAGTAACTAATTAATGTACAATATAATGCTAATGGTATGTTCTTACCAGTGTTTCAAAACCTGGATCGACGAATCCGGATTGCGGCTAAATCGGGCAGAACTTGGTGATCGAGAAAAATATTAAAAAATAAATGTAATAAAATAAATATTAAAAATAGGGGTTTAGGGTGGGGATTTACAGAGAACCTAATAAAAAGTTAAATAAGATTAAAAAAAAAATGTAGATGGGGTTTTAGGGGGCCAGGGGAGCTAGGACCCATACCATCCCGGAATAGGTTCGGTCCCGACAGAATCCCATCTAGAAATCACCAGATTTTAAAATGTTGGTTCTTACTATACATTAAGTTTCTCTTAACTAAATAGTGAAACCTCCGCCACTCAAAAGAGAAAAAAAAAGCCACTAACCATGTTTAATACTTTCTTTCATCTGAAGCGATGAAACGGATAGACTCTACTGACGGATAGTTCGTGGAAGGAAAACAAATGTCAAACAATTTGTGGTCAACTTCAAAGAATGTATGCTAGAGAAGATTCTTCATGGCCAACAACATAATCAATAATTAAGAATATGATGATTAAAATTATTTGCAAAATAGTATTTTAAAAGACAAAAATATGCCCATGCACTAGTTTTAAAAAGCTTATATCAAATAACAATCATGAGCCACTGGCTGAATGTGGTGTGCAATGAGCATCTACACCTATGGGTTATTCAAACTGAATTTGACTATTTAAATTGTTTCTTTTCATTTTCTTCAATTCTTCTTCTGACACCAACTAATTCTGCAAGTTCCGCATATATAGCACCCTCCCGACTGTTAGGCTATTTTATATATCTTAAACGAGTTCCTCTCAAAAATTTGTTCCATCATAGAAAGAATTGATCAGTCCGAAATACAGTTGGGCTTGCCAATGCCATCTACATCAAGACTAAATCACCAAATATTTGATTCCCAGGACACATATTGACATTTCAACCATAAATTGCACAATACCTGACAAAGAGATACCAACATTCATCTAGGCCCATGCTGAAATGCAATTTAATTTCATAGCAATGGATGGTTTGAAATTTAATTGAAACTATAATTGAATATGTTGTTTGTTTAATTTTGTTATGGTTGTACAATTCACAATGTTATCAAACCATAATGCTCAATTTAGCATTTGGGAGACACCTGTCAACAGCCCGAAGGGAAAAAAAATTGCCTCAGGTAACAAAAAGAAGAGGATTACTGGAACGCATTACATTCAAATCAATGGGAGAAAGACGACAAGAAGTGCTGCTCAGAAGCATCACAAGCATATTGTAGCAATCCAAAAAGCAAACAAGAACAAGGAGAATGCTATTCTAAAGGCCTATCTCTAGACCCAGCTATCCGGAAAATAAATTACTGTCAAAATCATAATCATTTCCAATATATACCTGAGCAAACAGATTGTGGTGTGGATCATGGTGCAATGGTGTGACTGTTCCAGATGGACCAAACCAAGCATTAAGTGACTTCAGTTCTCCAACACTAGCGGCACAATAATCTGGAACATCAATATCTTGACGCAACGGCAGTATCTGCCATATATGTAACACAGTAGGCAAAACTCATTAAAAACAGAGAAACTATTTGTGTCAACAAAAAGCATTTCTAGATCAAACACTTGAGAAAAATATGAAGTTGACCTGATCAAATACTGGATGTTGAGCTAGATATGTCAGACCATTAGGACCATTGTCACTGGAGTAAATTCTGTCAAGAAATTCTGAGAAGCTTATCAACTCCTGCTTCCATCCTGGGGCCAGGTAATTCTTTCCAACCTGCCAAACAATATATCTTAGCCAAATTTCAGATCATTGTATCACTTCATTGCAAATGACGGCAGCAAAGCATAAAGATTAAAAACTCATATCAAACTATTTCACTTTAGAATCACTATGCCTATCAATGTTAAAAAAGGCAGAGGTGGCTGCCTAGGCAGCAAGGGTTCATGACCACTTAGGCAGTTGCCCAGATACTTAGGAGGTCATTTTCTTCTTTTTCTTCTTCTTACATGTAGAGAGAGAGAGCATATGGGTCCATGTGTGCATTTGTGTATGTATGTGTGTGTGTGAGGGGGAGAGAGAGAGAGATAGGCCTCAAATCAAACACTTGGAGGCCATCTTCTTCTTCTTCATGTAGAGAGGGAGCACAAGGCCCCATGAGAGAGACAGAGAGCGAAGGCCTTGAATATGCTTTAAACTTACTTTATTTTCTTCTTGAGGTTGCTTTTTCTTTTTGAGGGGGTGGCACTAGGCATGCCCAGACCATCCTAGGTGCCCACCTTGAACCCGCTTAGGTGGGTGCCTTGGACACCTAGGAATATGTCCGCCTTGGGCACTGGCCTAGGCCTATAATAAGTCTTTTTTTGTCCCGGCCACGGCCTGATTTTTGAAAATTGATGCCTATTATTGCTACAAATTTGACGAAAGCTTGCAGGAAGCTACATATGACAGAATACTTCATCTTAGTATCACTATGAAGCTGGGCATAATTATTTCATCTGATTTTTATATAGAAATGACACTAAAACAACCATATGGCATAAACAATCCAGAACTTGGAACTCCATGAGCAAGCGCTGGTATTTCCAAAATAATAAGGATGAACTAGACTGAACAATCAATCCCTGTATCGGCCTTTCTATTTGATGGGAAGGGTGTCCTTGCTGCTCCAGGACATGTAGCCAAAACTCCAGACAAAGACGAATCCTACCAAAGGATCAGTAACCTCCCAAGAACCCAAGGCTCATCATCTAGTATCCACCATCACAAATCCCGATTCATTAACTTCAAATCCATAATTCCAAATCTCATCATGCTTCAGATGTGTGTATATCATACAATACTATGATGACCTAACTGAATCCTCACAAATTTTCCCAAAGCAGTCATATCAAGAGCTGACTGATCATTGGAGAAGTGGCTGGTTCAGTACAAACCAATCATAACACGTACAGACTGGTATGGCTGGTAAAACCATAATGATAAATTTTCATGCCAAATAAACAATATTTATGAATAAATAAACATATTTTTCATTGTTGATAAACATATAATTTTCGGAAAAAAAAAGAAGTCATATATAGGAAAGAAGAAATTATTGGACAATAAATAAATGTAAATTATGTAACATATAAGGCTAAATTTCTATGGACCTATGTATCAATACCATACACGTTGACCATGCACATACACATGCTGGGAAAATTTTTAGGACCTGAAGTTTAAATCTTTTTTGACTCACTTTGTAATCAATTCCCCCGGAAAAGAAAAATGATATGAACTTTTAGAATGCTAGGGGCATGTTTGGATGTACTCATTATCACTGATCAATTCACTGTTTCAATAAAGTTAATCATGATATCTGTTGTTTGGCAGCATGCATTATAAAGTTATAGGACAAAACTTATAAGCAGTTTATCATTTGTAAAGCTGTTCTCACTTTATGCAAAGTAATTTTGCTGAGAATCAAATGTTTTTAGCCAGAAACAGCCAAAAATACCCAAAAAATTTAAATAATTAAGTAATATTATATAAATACAATATATGCACCAAACATATAATAAAATAATATTATCCAGATTATATTAATTTCAGATAAGGAGGCCCATTCCATACAAAATTAATTTCATCCAAACGGGCCCTAGATCTATCATCCAACAACTGGAAGGTGAATTGATTTAGAGTGTTCTCTGAGCTTCTTATAGATTGGTCTCATTGATAAATAAATAGGAATTGAGAATTATGGTATCAAACAAATCCCCCTAACAAATTGTTTGGCCCATGAGTCAATCATAACACATAAAGGCTAAATTTCTATGGACCCATGGGTCAGTACTATAAATGTTGACCCATGCATGAAACACACCTTAAGAATTTTTAGGACCTGAACTTCAATTTTTTTTTGACTCACTTTGTGATCAATTTCCAAAAAAAATAAAATGACTTGAACTTTTAGAATGCTAGATCTATCATCCAACAAACAGAGGGTGAATTGAATTAGAGTGTTCTCTGAACTCCAAATGAGATTCTTTTAAATTGGTCTCATAGTTAAGTAAATAGGAATTGAGAGTTTTGGCATCAGACAAATCCCCCTAACAAAGTGTTTTGCCCATTTGTCAACATATATAATATCGACCCATGGATTAATACAAAGTTTCCCAAACATAAAATAATTATTTAAAGAAATAAACGATTTGTATTAAATATAGACCATATGGGATGTATAGATTACAGTATCCAAAGTAAAATGGGACACAAAAAGGCTGTTTATACAAAAAAATACCAAGTTCTCTAGTCAGGGCTGCAATATATTGATCACATAATTTTGGCCCAAAGTGCCCTCTTTTGCAAGAGCATCCAATGCAGCATCAGCCCCATGCCAAGAGTGCTTGAAGGATACTTGCAAAGCCCTGCTAATCTCAAATACATGGTCAAATGTAGATTCCCATCGTCACGGGCATGGAAGTGCACTTTTGCCAAAAGTAATAATGTTCAGGAATCTCCTTCTATGAGAAATTATACCTAGTTAATGATGAAAAGTTTTACGCCTTCGAGTGGGACCTTTACCTCAACGCAAGAGGAATAAGCTATACTAATAGGACCTATAAATAACAAATGAGCATAGCAGTTTCTAGATAAGCCCACAATACCGATAGCCCTAGATTTCCATGAGAGCAGTTATCAACATCCAATTTGATAGCCCTGGGCATGGGTGGATACCAGTGGTTTGATTTTGGGGCAGTCATTGGTATGGAGCATAGTTATTAAGACCAGACCAAACTGGTGGTCAACCAATTGGACCATCGCCTAGTGCCTTGGCCGATTTGGTTCAAAGTACAAACCAGGTTTGGATGAAAACCGGTCAAAACCAATGTTTGACTGATTTGACCAACCAATTTTTAACCAATTCAACTAGCTAAATGAAGTTGGGCAAATTTTTTAATACATTTATAGTTTTAAACTATTATATCTAATTTCTTTTTGTCCTTCTAAAATCTCGTCCAACCGGTTCGATTAGTTCTTGCCTCAATAGTTCAATAGATGGTCTGATCTTGATAATACTATGAGTCTAGACGAAACCGGTGGTCTGATTGGTTGGACCACTGTCTAGTGCCATGACCAATCTGGTTCAAAGTAAAAATCATGTACAGGAAAAACTAATGTTTGATTAGTTTTGGTAGGTCAGACCAGCCAGTTTTAACCAATTTGACCAGCCAAATGAAGCTAGGCAACTTTTTTCATACAATTTATGCTTTTTAACTATTATATATTTTATGTTCTAGTTTTCTTTTTTCTAAAACCCAGTCCAACCGATTTGATCAATGGTCGGATCAATTTGACTTGACCAAAACCCTCAACAGTTCAATGGCTAGTCTGATTTAAATAATACTAGTCTAGATTCTCTAGAATGACTTTCCAATTTTGCACAAAGTCCTAAGCTGCAAAAGGCACAAAGCTCCTCTCAATTTTGGGCTCAAAAAATACAATGGAGATGATTTGATCATTGACCACATCTATTTGAAGTTCTCGATTCTCTAATACTGATGTAGGACAAGATGCCTCCAATTTTTAAAAATTTTCTTATTTAATTTAGAGATGTATTTTTGGAAATTTTAGGTTTTTTAAAGTTCTTTTAGGGATTCTAGGATTTTTTTAAATTTTTTACGATTTTACAAGTTGTTTAGAAAACTAGTTAAGAGGATTTATGGAATTATTTGTTTTATTAGGGGTGGAAACGGCCTTAACAAATATTGTTTTAATTAGAACTTCTATTCCAATTAGAAATAAGATTTCTTGGGTTCTAAGTAAGGTCTTTTATTATAAATAAGGTCTATGTAGAGAATTTAGAAGAGAGCCGAGATCTTATTTGGTTTAACATGTGTATAGTCATTGAAGCCTAGCCTGTAGGCTTTCTCTTTAATTTTCCAATCAATAGATTATTTAATTAAGGATTTACTAGCAAATTATGAGTTCAAGATATGCCGTAATGATTTACAAGCAAATTAAAAAAGACCTGAACAACACCCGAAATTATTGAAGGCAAATATTCATAGACTAAGTTCGCAAATGGCAAGTGAGAACACTTCTAAAGTTCTTATCAAAAGCAGCATCACCTAAAAACCAACACTGTTAAGTGCAGAAAGGGGTTAACTTTTATGCTAAAATTCCAAGCTCTTAGTAAACAAGTAAAATGCTCTAACATGAAAGTTCAAGTCTCTAGATGTAGAATGATACTTTTAAACCCTCCTAACCCCAAAAGGAAATTCCAAGGGAGTTACGTGAGGGTGTTAAAAAGCTATTTCGCTTAAAGAAAGGAGAAAAAGCCATGAATAGAAATGGTGTGAAAAAAGAAAAAGCTCATATTTTGATTACGAGTAAACTAGGAAGAAGGTCCCAAAAGGCCAATTAAAATCAAACCTGCAGGTGTCCTTCAAGATGGCTAGAATGTGGTTTTGACCTTCGCTCTTTAGTCTTTTTCATCAAAAAGACCCTTTCTCTTTAGTCTAATTAGGGTATTCACGGGGTCCAAACAAGTCATGAAAAAAAATTGGTCTAGAATAGCAAAAACTAGTATCATAATCCAAACAGGTAGGACCAGCATATTTTGGCACATTATTATAACATTGGTCCAAATGAAATTCAGTTTGGGCCTTCACTGAATACTAGCTGTAGGATTTTATTTTCTAGCTTTCCAGAGAATTAGTATAATGCCTATTTTGATTGCTCGCCATCAATGGAATGAAGTTTTGGAGTGAAATTAAATAGGAACAAGAGATTCAACTGTCTCCACAATTATTGTGCAAAACTATTCCCAATATAATTTAGCATCATTCTAGAATGTGCACATCTTTCAAAAGAAGCAAGCTCTCTTCACATATCAGATCTACTCAAGCTTTAGGTATAGGAATAGCAAGAGCTCTACTTACAAATATAGGTATATAAGCAGGCAGATCATCTCCCACAGACATAGAAGCAAGCCAAGCTAATTTGGACCCAATACGATATTGTGGAAGTATTAATCTTCTTTTGTGATGTAACTGTGTCCCACATTGCTGAAGCGTGTATCCTTTCTACTATATGTAGCTGTGTTTGTAGTTTATTTTTTCCTGTGAATTGTAACCAGTGTTCGCAAACTGGGCCGGTCAAACAGGAACCGGGCGCTGACTGATCCAGTTTTGGCTAGTTTTAGTGGTCCGACCAGGTATTTAAAAAAAACTTAAAAAAAGGGATTTATTTGTAATGTATTTTTTAATGTTTTTATCATTTGGACAAAAATTGGAAATTGTTTTGGCCATGAATACTTATTTTTACATTTCCCAACTTTTTTAGAAACATTCAAAAATACCTCTGGACACAAATCGATTTTTTAAAATCCATTTGTTTCACTACTTTTCAACTTCATTTGGACGTGCTTTGTTTAATAATGCAGTAAATATACTTTTTCATATTTTTTTGGATTTTTTTGGTTTTTTTTTTTTAATACTTTTGGACTGGCCTCGACCTGCTAGTTAGGCCCGTTTACCGGTTACTCGGACCTGGCCATTGGCCGGTTTCCGAGGCCGGTTTGATTTTTTAAACACTGATTGTAACTCAATTAAGTAAAAAACTGAAAAGGACCTATAAACTATACAGACATGCATGCAAACCAATAATACCAATACACAATACACTAAGTAACAACTGCTGAACTTCATCAGGTTTCTTTTTCATTCTTTCTCATATATTGTCACTCATTTGAGTCATCGATCCCAAATGGAATCAACCTATTCATGTCAAAATACAACATAACTGTTGAACTTCAAAGTTTGCCAATATATGGCAGACATCTTGGGAAGTTCCACATCTGCATATTTTATTGCACAATTAGCAACTCTCACCCACAAGCACAAATCTAATTTTGCTAAGTAAGATAATGTTAATTGAATTTTCTCAGTAAAAAGGAATTCAATGTCTATTCCAATCAGCTTAACAAATAATTAAGGCATCAAAATCACACTCATTGTTTTCAAGTTTTCAACCCACAGCAAAGGCTCCCACACAAAAAGCATGAAGAAATAATTCACAATGATATACTTTTAAAAGATAAAATTGATTCACGAAGAAAGAGACAAAAGCAGATCATAAGAACATAATAACTGATCATACCTCAACTGGTACTGTTCTATCACCTGCAATCCTTTTCAAATACTCCATGCTCTTCCACCTTTTCATTGCCGGCCAGTGAGAAATGGCACCACTTATTATGACTGGAGAACCTGGCAAGAAGTAATTGCACAGGAAACCCTCCAAGGACAAGTCTGATCTTTTATCTATTTTCTTGCATGAAAGTGATTTACTGGGCAAGAGTTGAAGCACCTATACAAGGAACAACCCACGGGAGTTACAAAAGTGCTTCCATTAAATACTTGCTAGCACAAATCAAGTTTGTGAATGTCCCCTGAACTTTGTGAATGGCCAAACAAACTTCTGCACATAAACCAATAAAAGCAAGAACCTTAAGAAACACAAGCACATGAAAAGATATCATTCTGCTAATTATTGTGGCAATTACATGATCTAGAATAAAATATAATTAAACTCTCAAAGTTGTTTCCCACAACACATTCCAGAGTTATCACAAGAAATGTGAAGGGCAAGAGGATTGGTATTTGGGTTCGTCTTTCATCCCCTGAAGTATCCTAGCAACAAACAGCTATCGAGTTCTTTGCGTCATCAACTGATCCAGTTCTTGTGACTGCATGAACAGTTCCACAATCAACTTAACATTCTTAAAGGCAATAGTGAACAAATGGGAAAAAGGAATCACAAACCAAACAAAAAGTAGATCACAAGGAAAGAAACACCATGGCAACCAAAAAGAAGCTTTTACATTAAAAAGGAAAATAGCCATGATATTCATTGATTACTAAAGGAAAAAGATTTTGTTAGCACATTAGCTGATGGAACAGTATCAGCCCAATGGCCCAAGTTGATTCCGAGCCCATCAGACACAGCCTATAAGGATGTTGTTTGATTTTTGTTTGTTTCTTTTTATAGATCTGAGGGATCTGATATTTTCGGGCATTGGAGCTAGACCTAGGTGCATCAAAAACTAAAATAAAGTAAAATATAAAAAATACTAAAATACTCATCCAAGTTCACCAACAAGGGAGGGGTATTTTGGTCTTTTTCTGCATATTATTTTTTATTTATTAGTTTTTCATTTTTTTTTATTTCTTAGTTTTCGGTGTGCCTAGGTCAGACGCACATGCCCCCAAAATAGGTCCATTGGATCTTTAAAACATAAAATTTCAAAAAGTAAACAAGAAGCTGGTTGTCAAATCAGCCCATATCAATTTGGACCATTTGGCTGATACTGTTCCATTAGCTCACAGGCTAACAGAAGTTACTCCCATTAATGATATCAAAAAGTAATAATATCTTACAGGGAAAAGCAATCATATTGATAATTGATTTTTTAAGAATGGGAATATCTCAGTCAATTTACAAAATTTTGATAAGAAACCCATGTCTGAAACATAGTCAGGAATAATTTGATTATTTCTCAAATAGATGTGATGACTTGACTGCACAGACTTCAAATTCTAAACACACAGTACAAGTAACATGAAACATTTCTTAGGGCTATTTAACAATAATTTTTTAGGAAAAAAAAGGAAATTTTCAATTGTTCACCATGCGTTCATAATGGCAGATTTATTTATGGAGACGGAGAATTGTGTTCTACCCCTTGCAGAGTGGATAAATAGAAAAATCATAGAATTTTTAAACATGTAAGGTCGAAGAGAGTAGCAAACATCCAATATAGTGCACCACGGTGAGTATAACCCAAGAGTAATTCATTAAGTTTTATATTGTTTCGGACTAAAGGACCTTATGACTAAGCACACCCATACAAGGTGATAGAAATATTGCTTACCCTTTCTGTTTTCTGACAGTTGGTTATATGTTATTTACCGTTCTTATAAAGCCTACTTTAGTTTTATCTTTCTAGAAACAGCAAGGACATGCTGATAGAAACAAGAGTCTAAAATACAATAAAATAAGCCGGAAAAAAAAGAAATGAATGCTATAAAAGACTGCAATGTATGCATTACGTTGGTCACAACTAATCATTCTATTGTTAGGAACTTCCATAACAAAGAGATACTTCACACCCAAGCAAATGCACAGACACAAATAATTCCACTATCATGGATAGTCAATGTATAAGTCCATAATTTTCCTAAAGATATTTGGATTTTCAAACAAAATTGCTATATTACTCATTAAAAACTTATGTAGCACATTCATCACTGAGAACAGACTAAATACATTCAGATCAATAAACACTTCAAATAGCATGAAAAATGAACAGAGGAAAAACTAATCTTATGATCAGGTGTTCTAATGTTGTAGTGGTAGCTATGGTTGCTCTCTACATTCATGCTAGTTATTAACGGAGTGCGTGGGGAAATGTTCACCAAGTGCTAAAATAATTTAAGAAATAAACCAGTAAATAAGTAAACAATCAACACATGACAACAAAGAAAACAGCAAATCCTAAAATGCAAAACAAAAATAAAATCATGAGCCAAAGCACCGCATAAGAACAGATGTTTGTGTGTGCGTATGTGTTTGTGTGTGTGTGAGAGAGAGAGAGAGAGAGAGTGTGTGTGTGTGAGAGAGAGAGAGACCTCTTCTGCCCTGGAGCGGGAGCCTGCACAGGCCACCGCCCCACCTCCCAAACCACCCTCCAAACCTTCCTGCTCTCCTGAACTTCCCTCGAAACCAAACCTGTCCCCCACCAAAGCCTTAACCGCCGCATCCAAATCCTTCCTAAGCAAAGCACCGCCCATAATGATGCCCATGTCAAGCGCCCTCAGTGCCTCCCTCACCTCTCCCATTGACCAATGTATCTCCGCCACATGCAAGCAAGACATGGCATATGCGTCCCTCCAAACATGTCGCACGCTGTGCCACGGCCCAGAATGCAACTGCTCCCATGCTATCTCTCTCGCCGCCTCTGCCGCCTGCGCTTCTCCTGAGGCAGCACGGACTGCCAGGTTAACATAGGCAAAGCCGCCCTCTTGGAAGACCCTTTCCAAAAGCTTTTCTCTCTCCAGCTCTACGGTTGGCATGGGGAGACGGTGGTGCTGTGTCTCCATTTATGTGTGTGAATAATTAAGGTTTACGTAAGGAATACTCTCTCTCTCTCTCTCTCTCTCTCTCTCTCTCTCTCTCTCTCTCTCCTTCGTTTTTTAGAAGTCGGGGTTTATAGAAAGGTGCATGGCAAGTGAAGTAGAGTTAGTTTTCGAGTGAGAAAGCTAAAGCTCTTTCCTTTCTTTACTTTTTATTATCTATTTTTCTGAGAATTTTAGGGTTTTCAATAGTATTGCCATTGCAAAAGGGAATCTGGAGAAAGCTTTGAATTTCAGAGAAAGCTTGAAGAAAGGTGAGTATCCGGTGAGAAGACTCCAGTTTTACAGAGAGAAAGAGTGTGCTTTGAATTTGTGTTTGTGAGAAAGCTGCATATGTAGTGAAAATATACAAAAGTCAGTGTTTCCAGGAAGGATGATACAATTTACAGCGGGTTAGGGTTAGAAAGAGTGACAGAGTTGCATCTCTAGTTAGGAAGAAACGCTTAAGAGAGAGAAGGATTTCCAGTCACAATTTACAGAGGGCTAGGTTGAGAGAGAGCGAGAGAGAGTGTGTGTTAGGGTTTCAGAGAAATCAGAGGGGCCATTTCCATGAAATTCTGGTCCGAATTTACAGATACAATAGTCAGGGCTTCAGATGAATCATGGACTGAATTCCATGAAATTGCCTCTTAATTCACAAAAACAAGGAAACCGAGATTTAGAAAAGGCTACGGTTTCTGGTGAAGGATTGGGGTTTTACAAATTTAACAGTCGAGAAAAGAATTAGGGTCTAAGATCGTTCAATCGACAGAAATGGATTGAAATCTAGCTGAGGTGTACAATATGAAACTCGCGAGCCTTCCAGAGTAGATATTTATTTGCACTTTTCCAGTGAAGTTGTCCAAAACTGGCAAAAAAGTGCATGTTATTGAGATATTTCGTTGCAGTGTACATCATGACGTATATCTTGATTATCACCGTCAAAAAGTAAGGGTAGATGGTTATGGCCTTGGAGTATAGTCTATGCACTTTGAACCATATAACGTCTTTGGTGGGATCCAATCTCCAAGGCTCACCGTTCAAAAGCCAATGATTCATATATTATTGGTGGGATCCAATCTCCAAGGCTTACCGTTCAAAAACCAATAATTCATAATAAGTAAAATATTCTTGAGCCCACTTAAAATCACCGAATATAGATTTTGGTTTTCATCCTAAATTCATAGAAGACACCAACATATTCATAAAAAGCAAATTTTTTATAATTTATATATTTATTCATTTTTTAAATGTGTTATGTGAGAATAGAAACCTAACCTTTAAGCATGGCACAAGTGGTGCTTCCACCATAACCCCAACCCCATTCTCATAAAAATTATTTTTCTTTAACAAGAAAGATGCTCTTGATGAGGGGTTGTTTTATGATAAAAAATATTAAGAAAGTCGCCAGTCCTTTTTTTTTAAAAAAAAAAAAGAAAAAAAAAGAAAAAAACGAACACCAGACTCCTACAAGAAAAAAAGAAGAAGAGGAAAATTGGCAAAAAATAAAAGGAAATTTATGTAATAATCCCATTTCAATTTTGAAATTTAATCTAGTCATTGATATTTCATAATTGATGCATACAAATCCCATTTTTGAGAGTGTATAATATATTTCAATTTTTAAATTTTTCTGTGCATTGAATGAAGCTAAAATTTGAGGGTCCTTACTTATCACCTGCACACACTTGAAAACATGTATAAAAAATTAATTTAAAAAATATTATTACCTTGATAATGTGGTCATTTTTATTATAAAGTTTATTTTTTAATATTTTACCCATGCATAATGGTGAGAAGTACGATGCTCCAAATTTCAGCTGAATCTGAATCTGATAAAAAGAGAAAATGTATCATCATCAAAACCTTTTTTCAACTATTTGGAGTCGACAACACGAGTCTTGGTCTGCCATTCTGTTTTATCAAAAAACATACCCTCACTGAGGTCATACTCATCCTCATCCTATAAAACAAGTATAAAAATAAATATATTGTACTCATCCTCATCCTATAAAATAAGTATAAAAATAAATATGTTGTAGTCTCTCCAAATGTGGGACTTGATTATAAAATCTGGAATACAAGGGGCTATTTTTAGATTTTGAAAATAAAAAGGGAATTTTTATGTAAATTTTCCAAAACTAAAAAAAATAAAAGGAAAATATTTCACAAAACAATTGGGGATCAGCATCTCTAATGCAACTGCTGCTAATAGAGATATAGGCCTCATTGCTTACTTTTCTTTTTCTTTTAGTGATAAATTTGTCCATTGTCAAATGATTCAAATGCAAGATTACAGAGAATTAACCAAATGTCATCAGAGGCTTGAAAATGGGCAACAACAGCACATCAAACCTTTCACTACATTAAGAAATAAGTGTACAATGTCATATCAACGTATCATTATTCTTTTTCTTAGTAAATGCCATGTTAATGAAATACATCAATTGAATTTCCTTCAATTGTAATTTGCTCTTGTCCCATGTTACAGTTAAATCAGGTGGTAGAATGAAGAAAGAATCACACTTAAATTTGTCATTGTGTTACAAGTGCAATAGGTTCCTGTCCCTGCAATCTGTTAAGGGCATCTTGAATTGCTCTCCGAAACTCATTATTGTGGAGTAAGAAAGAGGAGACATGACCACCTGTGACCCATCTCACTTCAGAACCTGGCCAAGCTTTTTGAAGTTCCAAAACTGAATGCTTTGGAATGTAACCATCATCCTAACATGTTAAATTCAACATGAGAGACTGGTAAGGCATACATAGAAATCCGCAGCTTATACATGCATCTTGTTCATTATATATCTATCTATATATATATATATATATATATATATATATATATATATATATATATATATAGTACGGTGACGGACACGTATTAATATTAGACGACGACGACGCCTAGAGTAGTATATCGTACGTACGTACC